CCCCACACGTATGAAATTAGTCATTTGGTGGTCTATTTGTTATTTGAGAAAAGAGAAGGAGAAAACATTAGAGCCTTCTACACTATTTCTCAAACAGAACCCACAGGTGCTTTCACATCAGGTGGTGCTTTAGAGTAGGATTACCACAGGAGCTGACCCTGAAAAGATGTTCTAGTTTAAGCAGATTCTTCTGAACTGACTCATAATTCAGAATTAAACCGCAATCAGTTTAATAGCCTCCCTAGAGATCTAGAAAATGCACATCACAGCACTGTATTCACCAACCACACTAGAACTACCTCTGCAGAAAGAGGGAAGTGTATCATTTTAAAGACAATTTTATGTTAAAGTATTTCAAAATGTGATTGCCTACACTAACATTCATTCCAAGCAGTCATCAAATTAAGAATACAAACGAATTGATGCCAAGACAGACAACCTACTGATTTCTGCACAGCCCCAAGCCATTCTTAGAGCACCTATAACACAGGAAAAATTAAGCTTATGTCATGCTACTCAGACTGACATCCAAGCAATCTGAAGACTGTGAAAACTTCAAAACTAAAATCTATCCTGTTAGGACAACAGCAGCATTGAAAATATTTTGGAAGGATTCAAGCTTAGTGCAACATCTCCTGTTTTTATCTGCTGCAGAGCATGCTCAAGAAGCAAACTTGGCTAAAAAAAAAATTAACTGCTGACACAGGTGCTGTTCCACACCACAGGTCCTCAAAATGAAGACCATAACACCAAGTTCACTGACACTACATTGCAGAGGATATTCATAGCATAAAAATTATCAAAAGTTGACAAACAATACACTCTGACTTGTGTACTTACAAGAGGAATTCCCCAGTCATTCTTTTCAAGGTTTTAGTAGTATTTAAGGAAGTAAGCATGTGCTATTTCACATTAAAATACCGAGTATTAAAACTGTTAAACTGCTGACGTTAAAGGATGGTCACAAGACATGACTTAAGTGAGTTGCCATACAGGTCTGCCCTGTTTTTACTTTACAGCAGTGAAAACAGCTGTACAAAAACAAATGTAAGTCAATCTTTCTTCTAACTCAAGTCAGTGTTAGTTGACTTGTGTCTGACTATGCAAGTCTTTACCTGTCTTCTCCTCCTACCCCTTCTATTGCAGCTAAGTAAATGCATCTCCTCCCCAACCCTGTTCTCAGTAACAGTTCAGTGACAAATCTGTACGTGAAGTCAAGCTTCAGCAGTAATTCTTGACCACGTCTATATATTGCTAACAACATGCTTCCTAATTAGCAAATTTAATTGTATTTTCATTATCTTTTATGGAAGCTTTGTCATGATTGTGTGCTCAGGGCCTATCCACTGACCTTCTCTGCTACCATTTTAATGTTCTGATGACCAAAGTTGAAAATAGCTTCTCAGGTAATTACAATAGTTATGTTGAAACTTCTATCTTTAGGTATGACTACCTTTGTAACCCATGCTTTTTATATATTTGCAGTTTCTCCATTTTCTTCCTCTTTTCGGACTGCTGTCTAAGATACTACTGAGACACTGACAGTGGCCTCCAGATACATATTTTTCCCCAAAGGAAACATTTTTAGGTCACAGCACTACAGAAAAGTATTTTAAATAATTCTTTCTGAAAGACACTTCTTTCAGTTTATTTAGAACTTCCAATTCCCTGTTGAGCATGAAAGCATGCTGCACATCCTTTTCCTTGGCTTTCTTAAACTTAACTGCAGTTTTCCCAGTAAGTGTTGCTGCAGATGGACCTTAAAATTTTCAGAGTGCTAGATTCCTGAGACATCATCCAATTCCAAAGGTAAATGTGTGTTTCTATAAACACATCAGCAACAAAAGGAGGGCTACAGAGAATCTCCATCCTTTACTGGAAGCACGGGGAAAGAGGGACAAAGGATAAGGAAAAGGCTGAGGTACCTAATGCCCTCTTTAACTCAGTCTTTAATGGGAAGAGAAGTTGTTCTCAGGGTACCCGGTCCCCTGTGATGGTAGACAGAGGTGGGGAGCAGAATGAACCCCCCACAATCCAAGGAGAAATGGTTAGTGACCTGCTGCAACACTCAGACACACACAAGTCTACGGAGCCAGATGGGATCCACCCAAGGGGACTGAGGGAGCTGGTAGAAGAGCTCACCCAGCCACTTTCCACTATCCACCAGCTGTCCTGGCTAACCAGGGAGGTCCCAGGTGACTGGAGGTTAGCAAATGCGACACCCATCCACAAGAAAGGTAGGAAGGAAGATTTGGGTAACTACAGGCCTGTCACTTTGACCTCGGTGCCAGGGAAGGTCACAGCACATCATCTTGAGTGCCATCATGCTGTATGTACAGGACAACCAGGTGACCAGGCCCAGCCAGCACAGGTTTATGAAAGGCAGGTCCTGCGTGACTAACCTGATCTCCTTCTAGGACAAGGTGACCTACTTAGTGGATGAGGGAAAGGCTGTGGATGTTGCTTACCTAGACTTTAGTAAAGCCTTTGACACTGTTTCCCACAGCATTTGCCTGGAGAAACTGGCTGCTCATGGCTTGGATGGGCACACTCTTCACTGGGTAAAAACCAGCCTGGATGGCCAGGCCCAGTGTGGTGGTGAAGGGAGTTGAGTTAAATCGGTGACAGGACGTAAGTGGTGTTCTCCAGGGCTCAGTCTATTTGATATCTTCATCAACAATCTGGATGAGGTGATCAAGTGCACCCGTAAGTGGTGTTCTCCAGGGCTCAGTCTATTTGATATCTTCATCAACAATCTGGATGAGGTGATCAAGTGCACCCTCAGTAAGTTGGCCGATGACACCAAGCTGGGCAAGTGTTGATCTGCCTGAGGGTGGGAAGGCTCTGCAGAGGGATCTGGACAGGCTGGATCCATGGGCTGAGGCCAACTGTAGGAGGTGGAACAAGGCCAAGTGCCAGGTCCTGCACAACAACCCCATGGAATGCTACAGGCTTGGGGATAGGTGGCTGGAAAGCTGCCAGCAGAAAAATGCCTGGAGGTGTTGGTCAATAGCCAGCTGAGCTGAATATGAGCCAGCAGCATTCCCAGGTGGCCAGGAAGGCCAATGGCATCCTGGCCTGCATCAGGAACAGTGTGGCCAACAGGACTAGGGTAGTGATCGTTCCCCTGGTCTTGGGACTAGTGAGGCTGCACCTCCAATCCTGTGTTCAGTTTTGGGCCCCTCACTGCAAGACAGACACTGAGGTGCTGGAGTATGTCCAGAGAAGGACAACAGACCTGGGGAAGGGTCTGGAGCACAAGTCCTGTGAGGAGCAGCTGAGGGAACTGGGGGTGTTCACCCTGGAGGAGGCTCAGGGGAGACCTGATCGCTCTCTGCAGATGCCTGAAAGGAGGTTGTAGCGAGGTCAGTGTTGATCTCTTCTCCCAAGTAACAAGTGATAGGACAAGAGGAAACAGCAAGTTGCACCAGGGGAGGTTTAGATTGGATATTAGGAAAAATTTCTTCACTGAAAGGGTGTCAGGCATTGGAATAGGCTGCCCAGGCAGGTGGTTGAGTCACTATCCCTGGGGGTACTGGAGAGGTGTAGCTGTGGTGCTTAGGGACATGATTTAGTGGTGGACTTGGCACTGTTAGGTTAATGGTTGGACTTGATGATCTTAAAAGTCTTTAAGCTAAAACATTCTGTGAGTCCATGATTCTATAACTAAGTCTCAGATGGGCTTTAAGAATGCATTAATGCTCTCTGTCCACATAGCTACAAAGACAGAGCAATACTTGTCATGCTGCAACAGAAGTCTGAGTATTGCTTCAGAAAACACACTGTCTCTGGAAATATGTATCTCAGTCTTCTCAATCTAATCTTGGTGACAGAGAAGGAAGAAAATCCTGTATGTACACGGCTCCATTAAAAAAATACACAAAACCAAGAGACAAATCACAAAACAGACCTTTTGTGCCTCTTGTGCACCTAACACTACACTAGCTCCCCTTTTCCCTCCCTACTATTTGCCTCTTTGGTTACTCATATCATAAATAATTTGGGGACAAATTTATCTTTCAATCAAATAAAGAACCCATGCAGGTATTGACTGGAACATCTTAGGTCCCTTGTAACACAGTATTATGTTTTATTGCTGATTTTATAGGGCTTTTTAATGCTTTGCTGCAAATAGTTTAACCTTCTTTAACTAAAATGAATGAATCTAAACTGTGTTTATACCACTTATTGCAACGAGACTTAAAAGGTCTGCTCAGAGGTTAATGGCTTTAATTTAGCTTGTGATTTCTGTTTGCAGCACAGGTTTTGGCAACAAGTAAAACTATTCTTAACACATGTATTTACTATACCAAATAGTTTGAAAAGCTAAGTTAGAAGAGACACACAGAACAGTACTTTATTCTCATACGCTGGCTTAGAGATCACTTTGCTTAAACTTTCTTTAGCTTGGTAGATACACTTCCTATCATCCACTGTGTAAGTTTTTTTGTTCATCTGTTAAGCTTCTTAACACAAAATCTGGAATTAGTTAAAGTATAACTTTTACAACTCATTAACTACGTAAGAGTTACAAAACTAGTGGAACTAAAGCAGTCATACAACAGCACTTAAACTCTCCATATTTTCAAGGCCAGTAATCTCAGAAAGCAACAAATGTAAACTGATTTTAATAGAGATTTGGTTAAGATCCAGATTCAGAATCAGTATTCAGCATTAAGCCAGGTCTTTTTCAGAATCCTTAGTGAAATATTTGATAGCCCAAATATATTTTGCTTAATAAGTCAGCAGAACACCACCACAGTGAATTCTGTAGGCTTATACTCATGCATACTAAATGTGTTTTCATTTAGGAAAATTCTAAAATAAAATCTTACCTTTAAAGTCATCTCTTGGGCCTTGCATTTCCTTCTTGTTCATTTTTCTGTCAGTGCAGGAATTGTTATGGGCACCTTTGGAATTGTTTTCTAGGTAAGCTGAACTCGTTCCTTTTTTGGAGGGATGAGGATCACAGAGTTTTGCATTAATCTTATAAAGCTCGAGGGCCTTAATGGCTGCTGCATTGTTATCCATACGGAGAAAAGTTGGACAGGAAGCACAAAATTCATTCGTGCAGGCTTCATTTCCACAGCCCTCAGTTAACTGGTGGTAGTAGCGCTCTATTAGATGCTTTGCAGCTGCTCGCTTCCTGTAGCAAACATTCAAACAGTAAGTACAAGGATTAGTAGAGCTTTCACATAAAAAGCTCATTCAAAAGCATCAGCAAGGCAGAGATTAGTCAGGCACTGAAACACAAGATTTCTGTCTCAGAGAGGACACATCGAGAGATACTGTAAATGCAGGATTCTCATCTTATCAATGCAAATATATTTAACACAGTTTACTTTGTGGGTCCTATGTAAGTGAAAGGTAAATCCTGTTTACACACAGTTTTCGGCTTTACATTCTAGGGTTACAGTGGACAATCTCGTTCAGTTCTGAACAATCTCAACTGTCAATGAAAAACAGAGCAATTTAGATGCAAAGCAAGGCTGCACATGACATAGAACTGGAACTCATACAGGTGATTGAATCTGATGTATAGTACTGAGGTATGGTTGCCAGTGACAGAGAGAAGAGGCATGAAACAGAACTAATCCAAGCATTTATTTAGTAATCCTATAAATACCCCACCCATAGGAGATAAACCCTTTAAAAGTCTAAATAATTTTTAAAACAAGATTTCAGATGGTTAAGTTACCAGATATTTAAGTCTATTTAAGTCTGTAGG